TATATTATCGGGAAGTATTTCCTGCACGTTTATTGTCGAAGAGAGGATGACGAAATTCAAGAACACCGCAGTTTCAAAATGGATGATTTACGATAATAAAAGGTATTATTATATTGCGGACAAGGTTACAAAATACATCGCGCAACACAACACTGAACTCCTTTACGCAGTCGAGAATATAAATACACTTTTAATAATAAAACAAACAGCATACGTAAATGCGTATACCAACGTGTCATAATCGAAAAAAAAAATCACACTATCATACTGAAGAAATATTGTCTAGGTTTATGTAATTCTTATATTAGATGAAAAAAAAAGATGAAAAAATCTAAAATTTAGATAAGCTATCTAAGCCTGAACAATCGACTATTGTAAGGGCGTACATACTCCGCATTGTAGATTGATGGACTTACTTAATTCATATTTATTCTAGCAACTAGCAATTATATAATATTTCGTTCAACGTCAAATCGAATACTTACCGTCTAAATACTGACACACATCAGATACAGTGAATTACTAACAAAATTTGCTGATAGATTCTACAATTCGTATTAAAATTAATCAAATTGAATAACTAAATTAAAGCAATGAAAATGTAACAGCAGTGTGGTTTAGTCACAATAAACACAATTTACTAAATTTTAATTTAATTATTATGATATAAACAAAAATTATTAAAATCAATCAAAAAATATCTCTTATCTTAAATTTAATAAAAGTATGTAGAAAAAGTATTCATCGATGTAGATGTGTATACTTATATACTAAAGTCCTATGACAAACAATACGGACAATAACGATTTGGATATGCAATTAGACCATCAAAATACAAGGACGATTTCAGAATTGACGTAATATGTGCATCGATTTTATAATTTTATCAAGATAATAAACAGTCAAGATTTGTTTTCATAAAAGTAAATGAGCAGCCAATAAAATATTTCACTGCAAGGCGGCAATGCCATACATATTTATTTAGATTGTAATGGGAGTGGAAAGTCTGCCACAGTGAGCGGCATACTTTTTTATACTATTACAATCCAGTGCTTGACTACGTATACCTGAAGGTAAGTGATGATTTTCAAATATGTAGATGGTAAAGCAACCAGACTAGTAGTACCGGCAAGGAGGATTTTGATCACGGTTCTTTCATTCTACTATGATAATTATTTTAATACAAAAATGCGACAAGGTGGTAAACTGCACTATTTGCAGACATTTGCTTTATTCAATCTTGATATAATCGATTAAAACGTTGTACTATAATTTGCGATTTGGACTGCCGCCATGCAGTTCGTAGATAAAGAATCGCCAGTTTTAGGTATATCAAGTCAGAAATCGCATTTGTTGTAAATAAATTACATTCTTTCTTATTCTCTATGTGATAAGGTTTTTTATTTAACATTTTGATTTATACGTCACATAATGACAAGATTACGTAAACATGGATTACTAGTTGGAAGGCGAGATAAATAATACGATATTTAGGCATAGCTTGGTTGACACATCTTGTGTTGTAATCATTATATTAAATTACATGGGCACTTTTAATAAAAAGTAAATCAGATTTCAACTTGTACTGAAAGAAATATAATACAGATACACTAGTCACAAAAATTAAGGGATATAAAAAATCTTAATTTTTGGGTGCATTTCAACAAGCTGTAACTCCGAGGAAAATGATCGTACAGCAAAAAGGAGCGAATTGTAGCTCCAAATGTCTAGTTTTCAGATCTTTTAATAGAGTTTGGGTCAGGAGTGATCCCAAGGAAAGTACCGAAAGAAATTTTTTCCGAATTTTTGCTCATCTTAAAAAAGATCTAGGGGCTTCTAAATGTTTTTTTATTTATTTTATTTTTATTTATTTACTTCATATACACATTAGATGTATTTAGGCGGACTTTTATCTACCTGTCTACCTTAGAGTATTGCAGAAATAAAAGAGGTAGGTGTAATAAGAAGTATGTACAGAAATTAATATTCACATATATATATATATTAACTCATACATATACATATATAAACGTTATAAATATATGCATATATAAACACTATATAAGTATATATACATAAAATTAAATACATATATATATATATATATATATATATATATATATATATATATTAAAATATAATATTAAACACTAAATTGTACCGTCCATAATATATCTTGTTTATATAACTGAAAAAACCTTTAATAGGCCTTACATTTAAGCTGTATACTTTTAAGTCCTTAAAATTGTTAAATCGCTGTTGGTTTTTTTTAAATAAATAAATAAAAAAACACACTAACTGCGAACGCTAAGTTGATTCCGTCATTTTATTGACGAGCAGTTCTCGCACTTTAGACTTGAACGAAATCCGGTTTTGGGCACTCTTGATTTCGGAAGGAAGAGCGTTCCAGAGAACAGATTATTTCACTAGGAAGCTCTTTTAGGAAATTTAATGCTCTTTAATTTGATCTAATCAAAAAGCCTGTATGATGATTTGCCGCGGAATTATCGTCAATCAAATCAAAAAAGTTATTTTTAACTTTGATATTCAATAACTCTGGAAATAATGATCGTATAGGAAATTGAAGAATTATTTTCAAAAATGAATGGTGTTTTCAAAACCCGCCTCATTACATTATGACGTAGTCGACACTGAAAGTTTTTAGAACTGGCCACTTGTAAACTATATAATAAAAAAATAAGTTCAAATTTTGAAAATGGAACTCTTTGCCAACATTATTTATGTATGTATTTTATTAATTTGTCATTTGTTTACGATTTGGCGGCAAATGAAAATTGTCTGTGTCACGTCAGCATGAATTTAACGCGAGACAACACTCGTACAATGATTTTTTATGACTTTCAATGTCATTTAAGTCACCAAGAAAGTTATGACAGACTTTGATTAGATTTTCACGATGAAGCTCCATCTCGTGCCACTGTTTACAACTGGTTTAATGAGTTTAAACGTGGTCGCACTAATCTCACCGATGATCGGCGTGAGGGACGGCTTTTTACGGTGACGACTGAAGATAACATCAGTGTTGTGCGGCGTATGATAGACTGGCACAAGAGTGACTTATCAGCAGATTCGGACAAACTTAGGCATCGGTATGAGTCAAGTGCACAAAATCGGTGAGTCGAAAATGGTCGGGAAGCTTTGTGCCCGGTGGATACCTCATAACTTCACAGACCCAAAAACTCCGACATGTTGATTGCTGTCGCGAAATGGTTCAAAGATTTAACGGAGGTGACTCAAATGCTGAAACTAAGAGACAGTCTCTTGCCTGGGTGTTTCCTTCCGAGGAGTTGCCAACTAAAGTGAAGAGAGGTCGAAGTATGATAAAAAAGGTGGTGGCCTCGTTTTTCGGAAGGACAGGTCATTATGCAACAATTGTTTTAGAGGATCGAAAACATTTACTCAGAGTGGTACACTAACAATTGTTTGTTACCTGTCTTGGAAAAAGTACGGAAGAAACGTCCTCGCAGTAGGATCCTCCTTGACCACAACAACGCCTCGTCGCACAAAACAAAACAAACCATCAACTACTTGGCGACGTCAGACGTGGATTTAATGGGTCATCCGCCCTATAGCCCCGACCTCGCACCTTGCGATTTTTATTTATTTCCGAAAATAAAAGAAAAACTTCTAGGAAAACGTTTTATAGACGCCGAGGAAGCAGTGGCTGCGTTTAAAAATGCCGTTGAAGAGACCTCTAAGGACGAGGGGCAAAGAGCTTTTCTCAGTGGTTCCATCGGATGCAGCGATGTATTGATGTAAATGGACACTATTTTGAAAAGATATAATAAAACTAATAGCTCGCTAGTTTATTCATTTTTTGATTTTCTAAGAACTTTTAGTGTCACCCTCGTATCACATGTTTTACAGACCTGGAAACAGAACCAAGATGCTGTCGGTGTCTTCCGTGATCTTGCCTTTGCAAGATACAAGACACACATTTGATTGTGTTGATCATAAAGCTTTCATAGTTTATAAACTTAAATATTATGGTATTCGTAATGCCATACTTATGCCCAAATACTCAAACGTTGCTGCATTTTATGATTCCGTTAAGTATCGTGCTGTCTCTATCACTTTAAGTTTAAATGATAGAGACATGTGTCAAAGTGGCTCCGTGAAATAAACGATTTTTCACTGGTACAGTCCAACCGAATGTTTTTTTTTGTAGCTAATTATTTGCTTCTAAGCGCGGAAAAAAGAAATAGTTTACATTTACTCAAAATTTCAATATGCATTTTGAAAGTTCGATCGTATTTCTCAGAATTCACATTGACTCCAAGCTCCAGTGTAAAGCCCGTCCTATTGTGTACTACTGTGGAAATTTGATCTGTAAGTGTGCAATACAGTAATCTTTAATTTGAGGCCTCGCGAGTCGTTTTGATACGGCCGTCGTAGTTTGTTTTTGGAAATATTAAGTACTAGGTACTAATATAAATTTATTTAGTAAAAAAGAGACTGTCTCTTGTAGTCGAGGTAATACGCTAGGGGTTTCAAATTTAGATTGGCTAAGGGTACAAAACATATAATTTTATTAAAAAATAACCGGAAATATAGTATAGTGTATGTAGCTGAAACTAGAAAAGAACTGTCTACTGTAGAGCAATCGAGAGTCGTTAGATGGTCATAAATTTAGATTAAAACTAAAGAACATTTTCCGAGTAAATGCATAAAATACATAAATTACAATAATAAATAATAAACGTTATAATAAGATCCCTAAAATATAGTGATAAAATTCTGGCATAAAAAAAGAAATTCTCTTTAAAAACCTACTACAAAGTAGTGTAGATTTTGACGTTTGAACGTTTTAAACAATCCTTAATAAATAAAAAGTTTGAATGGAATTAAAAAAATATGAATAAATTCCTATTAATGTGAGAATCTAGGGACTACTTGCAATGTTTGTTTAATTAAAAAGTATAAACAAAAATAACTATACGAAATAATCAAAAAAATATAGAATAAACTGCCTTTCTTACCGTTTACATGCTTGCACATCGTATCTTTATCCCGAAGTTCTTTGTCTACGCTCCGTACGGGAGAATCCGGTTTATTGGAAGCTCTGTAAATAAAGGCTTATATTACATCCTTATGTAAAACACACAAGATACAAACAAGACTTGTTTCAAGGTCCTCGTCGGGTCAAGCAATTACTTCGATAAATTAGACGTAGATCAGTCATCAGTGGTTTAACAAAGAATGAATCATCATGACATTAACTAATCAGGAGTGTAAAGCCTTGGTGACTTATAGATAGTTTAGCTTTTTTGCTTCGTTCGTAACGCACCTTGTGCGAGGGAAATGCAAGTCGCATTGTAATGATTCATTGCACGAACTATATTTTCGTGTGCGACACTCAAGGGTCAACGATCCGATCGTCACGGCCGTGTGTCCGCGGTTCAAGATCGGGAAAACAAGAAGTACATTATAAACGTCATCGAAGAATTATAATTAATATTAATTCAGCATTCAACTAAATCACATGCAGAGGACTCAATTACACAGTCATTGATAATAATTATACATAAATTGCAAGACGTGTCACGTAACGTAAGACTTTGTATACCTACCGTTAAATAATTTATAATCAAGTACTAGCGTGAAAGTAGTCTTTTTAGAAAGTTGGATTCAGACAGATTTGGGCTAATGCTTAGGTAAGTGTCTGACGGAAGCTTAAATTGATCAATAGGTTGTAATTGTATTGGAAATATTTTCTTATCCTAAAATTGAGAACATCATACGTGGCAGAGCCACGCGGTAGCCGTATATTGTAGTTGCATAGTACAAACGGGTTGGCTTGAGCAGGGAAGGCACTCTTACAAAATACCAACGTTAAATTGCAGACTACCTAATGCTGCTGTGGTTTGTATGGTGAGTGTAGAGAACCGGAAACCTTTTTTATTGATAAAAGAACATTCTATCACGCATCTACATTTTGATTATTCGTTGGTGATGACTGTTAACTGTTAACTGATGGTTTTATAGGCCGCAGTATCCACTTACCATCAGGAGGACTGTGGTCTCGTTTGTTATCCTTAGTCTATAAAAACCCCTATCGAAATACGAGTAAGATATTTGTAATATTTCATCTCATTTGGTCAAAGATTTTTTTTAAAGTGACGCTGTAAAAAATTTGAACTATATTAAAAAAAAAAACAAATTAAACATTAAATCAATAATTAAATAAGACCTTAATTTGTAATTTAAAGCGCTTTAGACGACTGATCCAAATGTGTTATTATACCAAGCAACTTAGTATGGCATGCATATAGATCACAATTTCTTTCTTTATTTTTTACTAGCTGTACCCCGCGGTTTCACCCGCGTATATCACGCGTCTCTGCCGCGCGACATGATATGACACCTCGCTCATTTAGTTCAATCATTTTAGCTAAAAAATTTGCAAAATTAATGGATTACTTTTATCTATCGGCATATACACGTTATACAGAAAATTTAAATTTTATCCACTCCCCCCCTATAATTTAGCTTTCTATTGGTAAAAATTGATTAAAATCGGTTGAGTAGTTTCGGACTTATTTGGTACAAATAAACTAAGAAAAACATCTTTCCTCTTTATAATATTATATATATATATATATATATATATATATAAGTATAGATATGGTCAGACACTGCCAGCACCATGCCTATACTTATATATATATATATAAGTATAGGCATGGTGCTGGCAGTGTACGCGATATAAGGATTTTTCGACGTTACTATTGAATATTTTAACATGGAAAAGTAGTTATTGTGAGATAACTATAATAGTTAGACATATGGTATTGCAGACTTTTATGTAGATATTGATGTCCTCCATAAAACTGTAGCACATCACTTTGCTCTATTGTCAATAGTTTCCGCAGCGTACGCGATATAAGGTTTTTTTTTTGGTATTTTTTCACACCTTGGATTACATTAACGAAGTTTTCATACGGATCCCTAAATTTTTTGAAAACGTTCTATAGCCTATGTTCATCAGAAATAATGTAGGATTCTAATGGTGAAAGAATTTTTCAAATCGGTTCAGTAGTTTCAGAGCCTATTCAATTCAAACAAACAAACAAACAAATCTTTCCTCTTTATATTATTAGTGTAGATCAACCGATTACTTATAAGATTTTATTAAAAACAAACGACGGGAGTAATTCAAAAAAATTCCAAAAGAAAGTAAAAAAAACCTGCTTAGTAACAGATAATTGAAGGTTTATTCGGTCGGGATCCAGTAATTTGTTAAAATAACCTCGAAACTTGAATAGCACGTGTAGCTGACAATCATCAATTTTCATTACACGCCTTTTTCATAACACGTATGTGTGATTAAATAAAATATGCCATGTTTTCCAACGTCTTAGAAAAAAATAATACTGCAATTAAAAGGGCCACATTTGATTATCTTGGTGTACTATATCTCCGTCGTGTGGTGCAGGCTTGTACGCGTATCATATATAATATCCATAGAATTATTACCCAGTCATAACCGCTAGTTTGGACGCACAATTATACTTTATCATTTGTTGTAATACCGTTTCTGCTACGTTTCGTTTCGCGTTAAATCTTGCATCTGACGTACCGCGTATCGGATGTACATATCGCAGTCGGTAGTACGGACGTATTTTCATAATGTATCACAATATATATATATATATATATATATATATATATATATATATATATATATATATATATATATGTGTGTGTGTGTGTGTGTGTGTGTGTGTGTATCATAATCATAAAGGCGAAGCGATACGACACGATTAAATACTCGTAAAAATACCAGCAGAGGCAGTAGCATCTCTCGTAATGGAGAATTCCTCCACGCTCAAGCTACCCTATTCTTCCTGAGCGTGGGTGCTTAGAATGCCTCACGTGTTCTTATAACGGGTGGGGGGGGGGGCGCAATTCCGCTCAGCACTAACACTGCTCGTGGTACGCATAGCAATAAGACAAAGCGCCTCCGCCACGCTATCCTTGAATTTCTGCAACATCAGGGGACTTCAATCGAAAATTAACGCCGTCCACTACCATCTGAAGACTGTAAAGCCGGCTCAGCTCTTTCTGACCGAGACGCAGGTGTTTCTTTTCTACAGGCAGTCGTTCCTGCAAAATTGCTTTACGCCATAACCAGTTAGTTACCGTACCCGGGGTGACGTATCGACGGTTCGGGGTTCAAACAGCTAGCGTTCTTAAAAATAAGTACGAGTATAATTCCACTTACAGGTCTTTCAAAAGAGTCATTGTCAAGGCGAAATCAGAGCACATCGGCAGAATTAGCAATAAACGAGTTCCTTACTTTAGGAAACCCGTACATTCAGATCTCTCAATCAAGGCTGTCAAATGGAACTTCTGTCAATTATCGTTTAAGTGCACCTATTCCTTAAAAAGTTGATCGCTCAGAAAATTCCAACTACAGCTTGTCGCCATTACCTTATATTTATACCAAAATGTAGAAACCATTATAAAGCGGCAGCTTATGAAGTACCTTTGGGACAACGAGCTGTTTAACGACCGCCAATACTGTTTCCGTCGGGGTCTATGGTTTCTATTATGGAATTCTATTGGTCTATGTGTTATGGGGTTGTTTACAACGGCCTTGCCAATATTTCTTGGGAACGTGTTCCATCGAGTACCGCAACAATCTTGTGTCTGAAGTCGAGTCTTTATTAAACAAAGTCTCAGATTAGGTACGACTAAATTTAGTACAGTTTTACCGCTCGTATACTACCCGTTCTATAAGGCAAACAAACGTTGCGTCCCGTCTCTAGTATTTTTTCCCTATCGCTATAGCGGATGATATAACACATCGATACATGGTCTTAAAAGATAAGTGGAAAAGATACGAGGGTTAAAGGAAAATTTGTAGCCTCTATATTTAAAAAAAAACGTTATGCCTATATACTGACTTGGCATGATATGATTACGGCCAGTGATACGCTCGTGATACGCCAGTGATACGATTTGGACTGCGTCGTCGGTCTATTTGGTCGTAAGTATGATTGTTCATCATGAGGTCCTGGGTTCGAATCCCTGGTCAGGTTAAATTCAGTTATTGGGTTTATTGTCGGAAGATTTTCAATAGCAGCTCAGAGTTGGGATGGCACGCGCACACGCACACGCACACGCACACACACACACACACAGCACACGCACACGCACACGCACACACACACACACACACGCGCGCGCGCGCGCGCGCGCCCGCACACACACGCACACACACACACAAACACACACACATACACACACATACACACACACACACACACACACACACACACACACACACATGACTATAGGTTAATAGGAATATAGAATATAGGTTATTAATACTACTTATATTATGTAAAAACCGAAGGTTTACTCACTGTCTAGTCTGCCTGGAGCACCGTCGTAGTTCTGCAGCGAAAACGCAGAACTCCCCCGAAGGTGAGTATGAGCGACTTTCGCCGCGCACACTGCCGCGCGCACACCAGCATTTCAAACACTGCAACAAACCATTGAACATATAATATAAAATATCAAAATACACTTTTCAAAGTAACTTCTCCAAAGGAAAAAGTTTGTTGGAACTTTGAGGCGATGAGAGAGTTATTGACGTCTAATTTTAGTTTGTTGGAGAAATAATAGCAATGTCTTCTCTATCTGTGTTGTTTTTAATCATATTTTACATGACTATTCTTCAATTTAGCAACGTATATTCATGGCGCCATAATCAAACCAAAATACTGTATATGTCATAACCACGATTTAATTTTATATCCGTGTTTATTACAGCTATGTTAAGCGACATCACTTGCTTGCTTCATGGTTGGTTATAGAGTCCGCAGCGCAGCTCCAATGTTTGTATGTATATTGTGCTCTTTTTAGAAAGTAAAGCAACCAATGGGCACACATTAATTATATATTTTTAATAAATATAGTATATTACCCTAATTCTAGTAATCTGATGTTATGTAGTCATACGCGACTCTGTTTCCCGTGCAGTTGATGTAAACGCGCGAAAATTGTCATAATAAATAATTGTTTATTTCGATTGTATTGTTAATCGAGTACATTTTTTAAAATTTTCATTTATTTTGCATATGTGATAGAGCCGCTCCGCACTGCATGAATATCGAAGCCACAATGACAGGTGTACGGATTGCAGTACATGGGTAAGGTCGTAAAAAATGTAATTTTTAAAAGTTTTGAATGAGCCCATGTTTGATTGTGAATACCATACGCTAACAAAAAGTATGATAATATTATTAATTAGTAGGACATTGATAATCATGTTTATAATAATGTAGAAATAACCATAATATTCAAGAGACATAAATAATATATATAAAAAAATAGTTTTGAATCAACAAAATAAAGCTACATACAAAGTTTATTTGACAACTTCAGCTTACGGGACTAAAAAATGCAACGCAATAAAATAATATAGCATTATGGTTTTAAAATTGTAGTTTACTTTGAAAGCAATAAAGATGCTGTGTGATAATGTGTAAATTATTGCAATAATACAATGCTAGTGGAAAAAAATCCTATTCTAATTTGTGTATCCAAAAATTATCCAGTGTGTTACTCCGATTCGATATTAAACAACATTATTTACCTAATTTCGATGAGGCAATGCCGTAGGATTACTGTCACATGTCAGTTTTAACATATTTTTTTCATTTGCAGTCGTGACCGTAAACAATTATAAATTCCATAATTTCGAGCAAAAATTTCGGGCAGCGTATATGTGAGAAGTACAAAGATATCGTTTACTAGGTTCCTGATTCAAAATTTATAGTCAATTACCAGTGTATGTCAAGTTCTATTAAGTAAATCGCGCATGATTTATGACCGGTATTCATTGTTGAGTTTTGAATATTCGAGTGTGTTTGTTCCAGTTCGTTACGTTTGTTATGTCACACACTGAAATGTTATAAAGGAAGCTGTTCACATAACTTAACCGACTACGGTGAAATGAAAAATGTGTAATGTTATTCTGACGTACCTACATAAGAGTGGAGTGTTATACTATTCTGATTTATTATTACTAGTGGTCCCTCAGTAGCCGAACTAGGTCCGTTTTAATTAAGAGGTCGCCTTTCGTCAACTTTTCCACTCGCACAGGACCATTTAAATTTCAAGTTCTTCTTAAATATGGCTCTGTGCGAATGCGAACGCGAGTAGTTATTTTGGTGTTTAGTTTCGCAAACATGCAAGCTATGCATAGCCTATGCATAATCTAAGATTGGTTTTTGATTATTTAATCTTAATTTCATGAAAATAAATAATTGATAATATTTTAAAATGGATTTTACTTGAAACTATTTCCAAATGAACATTGACCTTTATATTATTCCAGTACGTTATTGTTTTATCATAGTTATATCTTCAAGTGGTTATTTACAGTTTTATATATATATATATATGGGTAAGGTCGTAAAAAAGTGTAAATATAAATAAGGATAAAATACTTAACCGATTTTAATCAAATTTGCACACCGTGTGCAGTTTGGTCCAACTTTAGGATAGTTTTTTTTTGCCCATGAGTGACCCACAATTTTTTTTTGCGAATTTAAGGATTTTAATAGTACAAGACAAAGGGTCGTCGAAAAAAGCAGAACAACGTCTGCCTGGCATGCTAGTAAATATATATATATATATATATATATATATATATATATATATATATATATATTACGTGGTACGAGAGACTGCTGAAAAGTTTTGAGCCTAAGTAGTTCTTCAAGTGTCATTTATGTCTCGCGCTGTATATTATTATTTTACGAATACCCTCCCTAGTATACACGTACAGTTTAACATCATTACTAGTTTTTAGCCCTAGCTTCGCCACTGGTTAGTGCTAACTAGCGTCGCCATGAACCAGGCTTTATGGCGCGCAACAATACATACTCTACTATTGCGGTAAATGAATTTCACTAGTTAAGCTTAAACATCAAATCTAGTCAATTATGGAGTGAAGGATTAACTCAGGAGTGACAGTATACGTTGTTTATACACGTGAATTACAAACGAGATTAATGTTTACGATGGAGCCCCGAGAATAACAAAGCCAATTAAGAGCCCGTAGTGAGTCGTACATACATACATAGACTATTAGACTTAGAGTGATAGTGTCATTCAAAATTCCGTTCAAAGTCGAAGCAACAACACAATGAATGTGTGCATAAGCGGCCTGCACAAGCAAATGAGTAATGTTTGCAAGTAAATGACGTTTTCCCCAAAAAACGGGGAAAGTTTAATAGTAGACATAGTCGTAGTATTAATATTTAGGTTGCGTTTAGAATTTTTTATTAATTTACAAAAAGAGAAATGTAAAATTACTTATATTTGTTAACTAATGTTTTATTTAAATTATTTGTATACGTAGGATCTTGTGTTATAATGTGTATTCACAAATCTATTATGTCATTATATTATTCAGTTAGAAGTGATATATTTATATAGGTAAGTATATAGTATTATATAATTATATAATATACTTTATTGAATAGGCGTTTTGTATTAAAACGAAATAAGATTCGGAAGGAAAAAAGTTATTCAAATAAAAAACGAAATTAGAAATATTTATTAAATAACTATATACCCCAGTACTTAAGCTAAATAGCTCTTACTTAATAATCCTGCATCTGCAACTGTTTTCTAAACAACTGCCGCTTTGATGACGTTATCCGCGAAATATTCTTGATTCATAAAAAATCGAACTCTTACATAACGTTATACAATAAGCCGCGCCAGATTTGCGTAGTGATGTTGCGAATTGATGTGCTCTTCTATAATAGAAAATATAGAACGACCACTGAGTTTGGCCATAATTTTGAGAGATAGCTCTTTCTCTGAATTATATTTCCGTGCATTATGCTTAATTTTCGCAGATTATTTTCAGCAATACTACAAATGTAGTAAGCTTCGTCAGAACCGTAAATTTGTTAGTTTTCTTTGCAATTAAGTCTAATTTTTTCAATCCATAGAGCAGCAACAGTCGAATCAGACGGAAATCTAAAAACGAATACATTTAAATTGGCAATAACATTTACGTTATTATTAACTTGTGAATATTGTAGGTATTTTATTTGCCAAATAATAGTTCCATATTGGCAGCATGTAATTATAATAATAAGAAAATATTGGGTAAAATATTTTATTATGCCTAGCAACATTTTCATTATATTGGCGTCTGTCAAATTTAAGATCTATATTTTGTTTTGATTAATGTTTTTTACAAAAATATAAGATGCTAGGCAGTAATTACCCGTGAAATGAGATTTTTAAAATTTTCATGATTATGTGATGAGTTGTGACAGCCTTTCACAAGACAGTACGTAATTTTTTTTAGCAAAATTGCACGAGCTATTTACACGAAAACGTGGCCTCGAGTACTGACTCGCTGAAAGTAGTACGTAGCCTTAAAAGGCTAACTTGAAACGGCTTCACTTTGCGTGCGCGTGCTGCAGTTCTAAGTCTAATAATTCTATGCGTACATATTAATTTAGAGTACTCCGTAGTAAGTATAACAGAACAATGAGAACCTCCTTTACATTTTTGCATCATACTTTAAACGAGTAGTGTATTGCTTTTAACTTTCGCGCAAAAAAAAACAACAATTCGTTTTTAGTTGCTCTTTTATAAGTCACATGAAATTTTAAAATGATATTACATTTAAAAAAAAATTATGATTGTTACTAAGTCTCTAAAAATAACTTGCTTTATTTTTTGTGCAGTTTAAAGTTTGCCTTAAAATCATAATTGCTCATTAATATTTCAAAATTATTGATGTTAAGTATGTATCCATTGGCACCATAAGTATGTGAGGTCAAGTATGTAACTAGTAATTTTAATCAAATATATTTTATTTTTTGACATCTTCTAAGTGTTAATATAGTTTTTTACTTAAGGGGGTTATGGGTTTTTTGGTGTTTGTTTTTTTTGTTAGTTGTGGTTGGGGGTTTTTTGAGGGTTAATGTGTTTTTAAATGATTGTGAAGTGGCTTTTTTTTTTTTTTTTTAATAAAAAGAAAAAAATTGTTTTTTTTTTTTTCAAGGGTAAAAGGGGTTAAGGTTTTATTTAAAAAAAAAAAGGGGGAATCTTAGAATTTCCTACATAATGAACTCTTCACCCCGAGCTCGAAAATTTAAAAACAATACTTCAGCGTTACTGCTTCATTATCTTTAGATTTATATATGTAGTAATAAAAAATATAACTACTCCTTGACCATTGCAGAAAAGGTGCCGTCAATGGACTGCAGTAGCCACTTACCATCAGGTGGTAGTAAGTTCGTCTGAAAGAAAAAAAGGAGGCCAAGTTCAGCTCTAGTAACGTCCGGGGCTCCGGGGTGGCCCAAGCTGATAGCTGCTTTTTACTTTATTATTTATTTAAAGTATTTTAATTTTAGACTGCCTCGTTGGTCTAGTGGTTGTAGTAGTGCGACTGCTGATCATGAGGTCTGGGGGGTTCGAATCCCGGGTCGGGCCAAAAAATCA